TAGTAACCACAGTGAAAGTAGAAAACAAAAAATAGTGATGATCCAGAAAAATGATAATTATCAACTCCATGTGCATAGATAGAAGTATTTCCTTTCTCTCTATTTCTCCATATTGCAATTTAGCATTTAAGTTTGTTTACATTATAATTATAGATTATGGTTATAATTAATTTTGAATTGTAAATTTGTAATCCTAAAAACGGTTCCAATATTAAATTTTACTTGGTCATCATCATAAACATATCTATATGATTTATTATTCAATACAGAGTACCTTAGTATTTACAATCATTTAAATTTTTAGAGTTATATAACAAACTTAATTAAAAATAATGTTGGAGCCAATAACTTATAAGAATAGTTTCCATTAACCCGTTACAATAAATTTAGAAAACCTTCTCTTAGTATGAAAATAGAGTAAGCCAGTAAGGTATAAGGATACATTGGCATTAAGGACTTACTTCCTGTTGAGAGACGGATACAAGTTTCCACCCAGCTGCAGTTATGTACCGGCGCTTCAGCATTGTATGACCTAGTGGTGATTCTGTGTATAAAAAAGGGCTAAAATAGTTGTAGTTACGGGACGAAAGATAATGCCACTAATTGTACACTCTAGTTTTCTTTTTTACTTTTCTACGTAAGCACTGTAATAGCCTCTGTGAACTATGATATTGTACGTTCTAAGTGATATCAATAATAGTGACAGCTTATTATTCAACAAAACTAATTACTCACCTAAGTTTCTTGAGAAATGTGTGGGGCCATCAATCTCAAGACCAATTTTTTTGTCAATCACAACTGCATCCAGTGTGTACCCATCTACATCATATTCCCTCACCCAATCTAGCCCAGTGCTAACAAGAAGGCGGGCAACCTCTTCCTCGAAGGAAGAGGTCACTTTCTCATTAAATCTTTTGGTTCTTCCAGCACGAGAGATTTTTTCCTCAAGACTGCTTTTAAGGGAAAAGGGAAGATTTGGGTACTCTAGCTTCAAGCACTGGTTTGTTTGATGAACTTGAGAAGCAAACATGACATCTTCCCTGTACTGCTCAGAAATGCGCTGCTCCTCAAAATGGTTCATAGTATTCCACACGTGGGAAAAGAAAACTCGGTCCAATTGCCCGAAAACAGAAAATGACCAACATATATTACCAAGCTGATCTCGGTTGAAAACAAGGATAGGAGAAGTGGAGTCAATTTGCAGTTTGTCAGTATGGCCACCACTTTCTGATCCACTTTCTTCGTGGTGAGGTGATATGCTGGGACCTGTTCTCTTCACCTGAAAAAATATGGTCATATTTGAATTTTTTAAGATAAGGTTTACCATATATTATGCATTAGACGTCCAATGTGAGACATTTGAATGCTTCCCCTCAACTCAGTCCCACCCAGTTTACAACATGAGGGGTTGGATAAAAAAGACAAACTGATCCAAAATGGGCTATTCCAAATTATAGGTGTCAAATTAAACAAACAAACAAACAAATAAACCACCATCAAACAAGAGTACAAGACTAGATGCTGTGTTAGTTTGGCCCAAAGTCCCAAACTCACCTCATAAGAATTATAGAGTTGAAGTTTACTTCATACTTATATACAAAACAAGATCTTGCAAGAACTTCTGTTTTTGTCATGTCAGAATCTTTTGTCTTGACTAGATTTTCTTATCTGTTCTTATTTAAATGCTATGGGATGGTCTAATTTGATTGTTTCTGGTCTAATCGAATTTGAATGTGCCTGATGTAATCATATTGAATAAAAGTAAACAATAATGAAAAGAAATAATGTAAACAAAGGAACACCTTATAATCCGAGCAGCACTGGAATTGATTGGCATCACTAAAAACATGATCCAAAGCATCAAGCAACAGATCAACAGGTTCATAAAGTGAAGCAAATGCCCACAACATCTGAGCAATTTCTTGTGGCTGAAACGTGTCAATTACAGCACAGGCTCTTCTTGATAATCCGCTAAAAAGTTCAGGAGCAGAATGACGCATAGAAGCAAAAGCACCTGCTACATTAGCAACATTTTGTGAATTGAACTCATCAACCTTAGCTGATGCCACCTCTGCAACTCTATCCATTTCAGACAGATAGAGCAACCCACCACCCACCTTTGACAATGCCCATGCAATATTTGAGACACCCTGTGGCGAGCACTCGGGCAAGGAAGTCATTGCAATGGCAACAAGCATACACATTTCCCTACGACGGGCAAATGCCAACCTTTGGCTTGTGGTCATTGAAACCTTATCCATGTTCTTAGCAATTCTATGCAATGATGTGGCAATATTCAGAGGAGAAAGTGGTGAAGGGCTGAGACCTTTTGCAACAGCCATGATTGTGTCAGAGGAAACTTCCAGAACTTCCTCGGCAGTTTGGGCATCAACAATTGCTTTGTTCAAGCTGATTTCTTTCTTACGGTCTGATGGGCCTGAAAATCGGGAAAGCCTTTCAACGAATGTTTCCATTGTTTTAGCCATCCTCTCTTTGAACATACCACCAGCAAATGCACTTATATTCCTCTTGATATCATTCTTATCATCATCATCATTAGTATCAGATAAATGTTCATCGTCCAAATCAAAATCGTCTTCCTCTGAACTAAAATCCAACCGCCCATCATCTGTTTTGACAAAATGTTCAACCTTTTTTTTAGTCTGGAACTTTTTCTTAAACTTCTTTTCAGTGTTCTCACCACCAATTATCATGCCCTTTGCAACAGGGGTTAATCCTCTAGCCTCAATAGACTTAAGTGCAATTTTCCTTGCCTTCACACACCAATCCATTTTGTCTGTATCAGGGAGCAACCTAGACTTGGGTTGGTTTTCTTTTGTCTTCTTTGGAGAAATCCGCATTTCTCCTAGAAACTTAGCTTCCCAATCTACACCGTCAGATGTCCCCCCACTTACTTCACTAACAATGTATTCATCTTCTTCGCTTTCATCATCATCAAAATCCGAAATTTCATCATTATAATTTCTAGATGGATTTATGCAGCATGTCATCCGGAAATGAAACCCTGATTTTGAAGAAAGTTCGAATCTTGGACACGTAATGAGGACTGCATTTTGGGGGGTCTCACTGAAAACAGCCGGAAACAGTAGAAGGGGTTTCTTAAACGTTAAGAATGGGTTGAGCGAAACAGTATCCATGGATTGCTGCTAGCTGTACTAGGTGGTTTGGGGTATAGGAAAACTAACCTTAAGTGGAAAAGTAAGCATCAGAAACTCACTCACTGGATGTTCAACATTCCACCAGCAGTGGCGGAACTAGAAATTAGTTACAGAGGGGACGATGACATACTGGAAAACCTACCGGCGGGCAGCGCTTGGCGAGCTGGCTCCGGCTTCCGGAGATCAAGATAGTGTGGGGGTGTTTGGATCTTGTAAGTGGAGTGTTTGGGTCAAAGCTTAGTAGCGATTCTCATGCTCAATTTACTCTTAAAATCAATTTTTTTAAAAGTTATGGTGAAATTGATTCTGATTTTACTTCTTATTTTCTTTAAAAGAGAAGTAGAAGCCAATCGGTTACAAGCAACCCTAATTCTTAACAGACAAATTTGACCTTTTTAAATTTAAGTGAAATTGCTACTTAAGTAGTACCGTAGTAGTTTGAAGATTCACAATCCACCCACTAACCATTTTAATTTCTTTCAAAGTTTCTCTCCATCCATTATTTTGGTGTGATGCAGCAGATTATATGTTTTTATAAAAAACTGAAACTTTTAAAACTTTTCTCTTATTTTTACAAAAGAATGTCCAACTAATTAAATAATAAAATTCTACGGAGTATGATATTCCATTACACTATATGTCTATATCCAAAGGCGGATCTGTCAGGGGGGCCAAGGGGGCCGGTGCCCCTGCTCTGGCCAATGGGGCCAAGGGGGCCAGTGCCCCTGCTCTGGCCAATGGGGCCAAGGGGGCCGGTGCCCCTGCTCTGGCCAATCGAGCTAGGGTATAGGATGAGGTTTGGGGCACCGGACTAGTCCATTCCATTATTATCGGTGGGCGGCGACTGTAATTTCCGGCTGGAAGACGCAAGGAGAGGGACGATTGATTGGGCAAGGACGTGAGGCTGTTTTTTTTTAAAGGGTAATTTTCGCATATAAGCTTCAAAGTGAAAATAATATCACAATGTTCACTTTTCAATTTTTCTTTCAAAAATAGGCTTGCTAAATCGCTCTTTTCACAAGTAGACCATCCGCTGCCCCTCTCTACCGCTAAGAAGGGAAATGCAAGTCCACCGACAACGTGCGCAGGGAAATGCAAGTCCACCGACAGCCATGCCTCCTACTCTTCCTAGATCAAGAAATACTCCGTAGTCCGTTCTATGGAATTACGGATCCCAATTTCTGCTTGTTTTTAACAAAAAACTAAAATAAAAAATGTTAATAAGTCAAAAAGTTGGGAATAATTACGCAAATAATAAGATTCGAAAAAATAAAATTACTGTTTTTAAGAGAACATACCAAAATTAAAAATTTTATAAAATGTGTAAAACTCACAAATAAAACTTGTGACTTGAAATTTAAGAATGAAAATAGAAATTTTCATTTAAAAATATATCAAATATTCTAAAATGTATATAAAAGTTAAAGTACACAACTCGGAAATAAAAAGAAAAAATTTCGTAAATATTACTCTTTAAAATATGATGGACAAAAATATTATTAAGTAACTATTAGTGACTACATTTGTTTTCAAATTTTATATCATACTACATAGTAACTAAATGTAAGTTACTGTAATATAAATTTTGAGCACAATTATAGTCACTAAAAGTTACTAAATCATATTTTTGTCTATTAATTTTTTTTTAGTAATATTTAAGGAATAATCCCAAATAAAATACTCAAAAAACATGAAACAAGTTATTTGTAATGATTTTTTTAAATATTTTTATAAAAAAAACGAAAACTTTAAAAAATATTGAAAATCGAAAATTAATAGTTCAAAAATCTAAAACCTAAATATTATAAAAAAATATGTGAAATGAGATAATGTTATGAAACTGTTAAAAAATATAAAAGCAACTAGAATTTTTTATAGAAGAGATCTTTTCATAAAACCGAAATATATTAATAAATAAAAAATCACAAAATTAGAAATAAACACATAAAATAAAAAAATTAAAAAGTGGAAATAATTTTATATAAATAAAATAGAGAATAGATTTTAAATTTTTAAAAATAAAAAAATTAAAGAAACTAAAAAGTGTGTACAGTATAGACATTTCAAGATGAAATTATGAAAATTAAATTAATGGGAAGATAAAAATTAAAATTGGGAAAATTTTGATTTTTTATTGCCAGTAATTCATTATTTTAAAGATTTTTACAAAATTTAATTATTATCATTATCATCGTTTTAATAATACTTTTTGTTGCACATAGTTTCTTTGTGTAGGCTTTTGTTTATAAGTATAAATTTTTTGTTTTGTATTGTTTCTTTGTGTTTTTCATTGTTGTGGATAATACTTTTTGTTGTTTTTTATTCTAAAGAATAGCAAAGTTCAATAGAAACATAAATAAACAACAAATTTAAAATTATATCAACAATAACTAACAAAAAGTAACACGATGCAACAAAAAGAAACACAATGCAACAAAAAGAAACACGATGCAACAAAAACCAACACACACAATGCAACAAAAAGAAACAAAAAATAACATATAAAAGTGTCACAAGAAATATGTATTTAAGCTATTATTGCAATGCCAAGAGAGGTGTTCCGAGTGTAACATGATGCAATAAAAAGAAACACGAAACAACTAAAAGAAACATGATGCAACAAAAAACAACACACAAAATGCAACAAAAAGAAACAAAAAATTACATATAAAAGTGTCACAAGAAATATATAATCCAAGCTATTATTGCAATGCCAACAGAGGAATTATTGTTCCAAGTGTACATCAACAATAAATAAGCAGTTAAGGGAATGTTGTGGGCATGTCACATCAATAGCTGGGTGCAGAAACTAATTTGGCAATGCTTGAATGACTCTTGAAAATGTCGCTTCCAAATGCTTCACTTGAATTGTATCAAGGCCGGTCTACAATCTCGGCCACAACAATAAATGTGGCAATCACAACCTGGAACACTAGGGATGTTTTCTTTTGGACTGAAATTTGCTGGTCTGGTCTGATTTGGTCTTGTCTGTTTAAGTCTGGTCTGGTCTGGTCTGAACTGGTCTGGTAAACGTCTGGTCTCTGTTCATTTTATAATTATCCAAGTCTGGTCTGGTCTGGTCTGTTTAAGTCTTGTCTGGTCTGGTCTGGTCTGTTTAAGTCTTGTCTGGTCTGGGACTGAAAACAGTCCAAAAGAAAACATCCTACATCCACCATTAGAGTTGCATCAGTTGTCAAATACTTAACGGTGTCAAATGCAGCTAGCATAGGTTTCAAAATGCTAATCATTTATTTCAACAGAACGTGATAAATCAACAAAATTAAAAAAAAATAAATGTCTATATAAAAAATGTGGAGGGCATTTCAAAAGAAATTATTATTTAAGGAACAAAATGAGTTTTTGGTATGATGCATAGATGTGCCTGCAAATACAAAATGGACAAAGGAAATGGCAAAATGAGTGATTAGATGCTTACGGGGAATGAGCCTAAAAGTAGAAAGAAAAGCTCCTCACTATCCATCCAGAAACATGGCACTTGATTTCTTAGTTTGTACAGAAAATCTTCTCTCTAATGCCACATACACTGTCTAAAAGTTTGATTTGGAAACCTTTATAATTAGCATAAACTGTTCTGCATTTCCTCAGTATAGGCCTTTTTCATATCCACCAGAGAGGAGCATAGTTGCCTAATCTAGTGAACTGAGAGTAGCTACATGGTTCTTCATGTGTAAAAAATCCCAAATACATTTTTCTTTTGACATTTATGCAGAGATGATAAGTTATTCGAAAACTTCAAAACATAACCTCAAACTATTTACATACTCTAAATGGATTCCTCTTCCAGTTCCTTATCCGGTTGAATATTTTGATATTACCTTAAAATTCTCTACTATTGATATACTGGAGCACATTGCAGGATCTGGAAATTGGTTTTCAAACCTCTTAAACCTCATACTGTAAATTACTTTTCAAAATATCATAGTATAACCTTTCACTAATTAGCTAAGCTGTCAAACTACAAAACTTACTAGGAATACAAACCGATTTAAAGCATTCTTACCGAGGATCGGCCCTAAGAGAACTTAAATAAGAGAGAAAATTTGAAGGTCAAATTACCGACCAGCCTGCTACTTTCCGAAGGACTAAAACTAGATGTCTTCGTTGCATAAGACGAAAGTATGAAATACAATTGAATCGGCTGATCTAGAATCAGTTTCTAGAGAATAAGCCGCTATGGTGTGAAGTTTACCTACGATTTTAATACTTGAAACTCCATGAATGTCTGTGGATTTCAATCCCCGAGATTACCGACAATCTGCCTCCACGGCTCCACCTCCCATGAATTCCAACCTAGAGTGTCTGATTGATGGCACGAATTCTGCCCATCGGTCATCTGATTTAGTTCGGAATGACCATGGCGATAAGGATCGATCGATCCTGGAAAGCGCGTCGCGACCCGTCGAATCTGAGATGCAACATCCCTTTCTCCATATGTTGCATCGTCCGCTGTGAGAAGAACTCCATCTGTTGTATGTGGTGAGACGAGAAGGGAAAGTCGGTGAGGGAGAGATGGTTGAGGTTTAAACGTACTAGTAAACTCACCCGTGCGATGCACGGCTTGAGAATTTTTGTTTCAAATTTATGTGTGCTTATTACTTCCTCCGTCCCCTAACTTTGTCCCATTTTAACTTGCTTCGCATTGATGACATCCTGTCTACTCCCATGAGGTATCACCGACAACACCTGCCGAAAGTCAAAGGTTTATATGAATTAATTGAAGGTGAATTATTTATAATGACTAAGTAATAAGGTGACTAAATTTACACAAATTTCATTTTTTAGCCGAATTGTCTCTCTAAATAGGTAAAGTAAGGGAGTAAAATACGTGAAGACCGATCAATTCCTAAATTATACGAATTGCATTTTTTTACACGAATTGCCTTGGTATTTTGGCAAATCAGGGGGTGTGCAAATATGTGAAAGTGTGTTATGGCATTATTAAACAATTCTCAAATATGAATTTGTGAGAAAATGTTAGTTGAGTCCATATATGAAAAGTGATGCTATCATTTAAGCACAATAACTTTCGAAACACATTCAACAGGTAGAATATACAGTAGTTCTTCATTAAAAAATAAGTACAACTCCAGTGTGATGCTCGAATGGTGAAATTTAAAGGGCGAAGTTTAACTCAAATTAGAAGAAAAAAAATACACAATAATCAAGTTTGATGTAAAATGAAATGTATTCAATACAATTTACGGAATACCAATGATTGTGGAGCAGCACACAAATGTGTATAGTCTAACAAAATAGTAACACTCAATACAAATATAATTTGTATTGAAATTAATCAGATTATACAACACATGATTTACTCCAAAATTATGTAATTTGCATTTAATTTGTGAACTCTATCAATTCAGGACTTGAAAGATAGATGAATTACTAATCCGGGACCTGAAAGACAAAATGTATCAGTACATGACCGAATAATGATGGAAAACTATCAATATAGGACATAGTTTTCATGATTTTTTAAAATCAGTATTATTAAATTAAAGCTTTTGTTTTCAAAAATAATATTACCTCCGTCCCGATGGACTTTTGCCAAATGCAAAGTAGGTGAGAAATAAGAATAATAAAAATTGTATGATTGAGATTTGTGCAGAGGAAAGAGAAGTGTGCAGAACCACAAATTAGTTGCTTTAATAAGAAAGTAACAAAGTTTTTTGAGACATCTAAAAAGGAAAAGTTGGCAAAGTCCAATAGGGCGGAGGGAGTAGTATTGAAAATAATAAAATATGAGGGGTCATGGCCCCTTGAAATTAAACGTCCCTCTCCCCGGCTAATGCGGATGCCATTTGACATTACACTTATTTTTTAATAAAACTATTATAACTTGTACTATATATATGTGTGTGTGTATATATATATTTAGGATCACATACAAACTACTCCTAATTTACAAAATGCAAATTAATCCTAATCGTTCATTTTAATGAGGCAACGGTTGAGATAGGAAAACATTCTCACTAACCACATGTCCGCATGTTTTGGTTAAGGGGAAAAAACTCCCCCAGTAATACGGTGAGTATTAATGCTCAAAAATAAAATCTAACCCTTAATTTTATAATATTGGACGGATGAGATGATTTTGTATTATGTACGGGAAGCATACTTTGTATCTGATCTTAACCGTATATATATATATATATATATATATATATATATATATATATATATATATATATATATAGATAAGAGATCACATACTAACCATGCTTAAAATACTAACTTACTAACTCAATAATATGCAACCCATTGAACTTCAATACGCAGTACAAATAATGTAAAGATGCACACTGTGAATTTCAATATGCAATAAAAACAATATGCGAAACTTTGAACTTTAATATGCAGTACAAATAATATGCAACACTTTGAACTTCAATATGCAGTACAAATAATGTAAAGATGCACCGTTTTTGATAGTTTGTAGGTTAGCATGGGAGGAATGGTTAGTATGTGATCTCACCCCTATATACACACACACACACACACACACACACACACACACACACACACGATAGTATATATAATCTATTTTTTCACAAAAAAACATATCAAATTTATTTTTTCAGCATATAAAAAAATTAAAAAAACAAATTTTTTTCTCTTAAATCTATTTTTAGCCGTTTTTATTTGACATATACAATATTAATACCATATGAAAGACCATAAAAATTAAAAAACACAGATATATTATATTTGAAAAAATTGAACCAAAACGAAAAACTTATAACAATTGTAAAATTTAAAAGATCCATGTGGCCGTCCAATAGGGTGGGCTATAGTTCACCCTCTTTTGAAGGTGAACAAAATTGTTCTCTCCGAACCCCACCGTCAACTTCATTTTTCACTCTTTATGAATGCCACTCAACTTATTCCCTTCTCCGTACTTTCCCTTGCTTCATTTTTATACGCATAAAAGGTGTTTTATTTATGTGTTCTAATTGATGCTTTGGTGTTGATTAGAGTCGTTTGATAACTCCTCTTTTGAATTTATCTGACTTATCGATCAACATTTTCGTCAAATATGTAATTTTTATTTTACGCTAAATTGTACTCCTTCCGTTCTCTAATAATTGTTCTTCTTCCCATTTTGGGATGTTTTCTATTAGTTGTCTTCATTTTCATTTTTGGTAAGTTTTTTCAATAAGTATACCCATTTACCCTCATTTTCTTTCCAACTTTTTCCTTTACACACAACTCACTACACCTTTTATCCTACCTTATTAATTTCATCTTAAATCTTGTAACAAAGACTATACTCTCATCTATTAGACAACGGAGGGAGTATAATAATCAAAATAAGAAGTACTCCATACATCGTAGTTAATTTATTTTTTTTGGACTGAATTGAATGCTTATTCTCATCAAATAGGCTTTTACATCTTACTCGTATCTTATTTTAAGTTTTTGAAACATAAATAGTCATAGTGATATTACATGAGTTAAAATCTTACATCTTATCTTGTTTTAAGTTTTTGAAAAAAAATAATTAGTGATATCACATGAGTTTAAAATTTGTTTAAATGACCTCAATAGTCAAATACGGAGTAAAACGTAAGGGGTGCCCATTACACTATTTTCTCAAAAACCCTTCAGTTTATAGAAAAAATTCATCTACCCACTCAAACATCCCAAGTGGAGTTGCACACTTCTACTTATCACCGCCCTTCAATTTCATTTCTCAAATCCACCGATTTATCGTTACTTTATCTAGATCTGATAGATGTGTCCCATTAATACTCGCTGATTTAACTCAAATCGGATTTTTAATTTTATATATGCGATTGAAAATATAATCTAGTGCTCATATTATTTCGAAGTATTGATTTGAGGTATATGTTTTACTGAATGTATGAAGTCCAGATTGATGATCTGCTTTAAGTGATGACGGTATGTTGCTAAATCCATTTCTTAGTAGCTTTTTAGTTCTCATGCCTCCCTCGTTAACATGGCAGTAGGTGTGTATGTTATTTTTCAAGGCTTTACACAAAGATCTACTTTTTTATGGTGATGAGAGTTGTTTTCAGGGCCATATATATATCTTAAATTCAAATACTTACTTTCGATTTTTTTTTCAAAATCATGGTTAATATGTTCATAATTTGATAATTATTAATCTTTAACCTATATGTTTTACCATTACTCGTAATACATCTTTGTTTACTTTTCATGTCTTATAAAATTGAATGAAAAATGATTTTTTCTTCATGACTTCATGAGCCATCTGACCTAGAATAGATCTCAGGAGTTTTTTATTACTTAATTATATTATTTTTAATTTGCTTTAAAGACTCGAGGATTTGGTGATTGGTTGTGTAAGTGAACTTTTTTTCATATATCAAATGTTTGTGTCATCTATGTCCATGTATTTCAAACGCATACGTGGATATCCCAACATTTCATTCCAACATATTTATATTTACCGGAAAAGAAGAATAAAAACTCATTCAAAACTTAATTGAAATTGTGTGGACTGGTATTTTCATGGTAGTTTTCCTTTATAAATGTTATTATTACTGACACTCCACAAAATAATAGTCTGTGACAAATGCATACCGTAGTGTGTGTTTGTGGATTTATATAATTGTACCGTGCATATTCATCCCTATTTTTCTCAGTCAGACTTTGAGGAAGAGAGAAATCAGAGAAGCTAGAAGTTTGTTGTGGAAGCTTTCGAGCAAGTGTGAGGGATCTCTTGGATAGAACTATGCTTTTATAGCCAAAGTTTTCGTTCTAAAATCTAGTTGCCTAAAAATTACTCCGTATGTATGAATCTGAGAGCATTAGGGCTTGTTTGCAATCAATTAAAAAAAGTGATTTTGGCTTTTTTTTTTAAGAAAAAAGCACTTATTTTACCAAACACTATCAACTTTTACTTCATCGATTTTCGTGTAGAATCTACTTTTTACTTTTTCTATTACACACAAAGCACTTATTTTACCAAACACTACCAACTTTTACTACTAATCACTTTTTCCCAAAAAATGCTTTTATTTAAGCATAAGTAGTTGCAAACAGAGCCTTAGTCATGAAAAATGGAATGAGTAAACTATACGCATAAGATTTTTTAAGACATTGCACCTCATGAGCATGAGCTCTTAAATCTTATCTAGATATTTGTATTTTTATATTCATTTTAAACTTGTTCGTGGTGCTTCCCCCCAATAGCCACCTCTACATCAACCAATAGGAATTGCTCTTTCCAAATATTTCCCCTAAAATCCTCCAAAATCTACTTTAAACTGTTGAGTGAACACTGTGAGCATGGGCCTTTCAACTTTATCACTGTACACTATCTCCTTTACTTCAATTTTTAATCTTATTCTATACGCAATGTCAGCTTGGAAATTATCTTACGCATATATCCCTATTCCTTTGGGTGTGGAGAATTTTTAATCTTTTGCTATCTATTATGTTACTATTTGCCTTGATGTTGACATATTTGAGCGGGAACCCTATTCCTAAAATTCTTTTGCTTTTATATATTAATAGATGTATCGACGGAACCGGTCTAAAAGTGAAATAAATAAAAAATA